GTTAACGTATAGCATCGCTGTGTGATCCTTGTTTATAATGAAACTATTAATGTAAAATAATTGATTTTATGCTTAATAATTTAATTTTTTTAACACACATAATTTATAAATTTCTTTATTTAATGAATAGTAGATTATAATATTGATTGTCATTAAAAATAAACATATTGAACATGTGAAATTAATTTTATATTACTTTAAACTTATTGCAATTTTAAGACATTTATGCATTTACTAGTAAATTTGCACAATCGTGGTCATTCTAAATAAAAAATTTATCCATTGTATAATTTCAATAGATATTTAAATCATAAGCACTGCCGTCGCGTCGGAATCACTCCATCGGTTTTGTAAAGAGTCGACACATTTTATTGTTTTAACAGTAAAAAGTTGAACCTGGTACATTTGGTTTATTTTGAGCTTAATGAAATTTTTTGAACGTAAGTCATAAGACCATAAAAGAGTGTAAATAAATGTGAATTTTGGTTTTGCCCGACGGCTGGTCGTAGAAGTTCGGTGGGAACCAAATCCGACTGTGTGTTAATTATATCTAGTGTGTAGTGTTAATAACAAATATTATTATGTTGTGATCAATGTTTTATTATATTTAATAATGTTTAATTAGAGCTAACATTTTAAAATTTAATGTTAAAATTATTATATTTTTATACTCTTAATCCATTTATAATAATAAATTAATATTAAGCTTATATATTGATGTTCAAACACAATTATTTACAGTTTGTATTATTGGGATTAAACTCTATGATAAAAGTAAAACATTTGCCTATTCGACCGGATGGAAAATATGCCAATCATATTTGTTTTGAGTTAAATAATTTAGAATTAATTTTATTTAATATTTAGTTTACAGTATTTATTGGCAAAGTAAAATAAACTCACTTTAATTAAAATGTAAAAATACTTTTAATTATATAATTTAGTTAGTAACATTGTAACCCATTTGTACAAATATTCCTTTATTATTTAAAATCGTGATTATATCAAATTCAAATTTAAAATTATACATTTGTTTAATCATTCATTGTATAATATGGTCACACATTTAATTTAATTTAATTGGAAAATTCACTAAACAACATTACTATAACAAATTATACAATGTCTATTATTTTTAATGCTATATAATTTTTATAACTATTATTTAAGTATTAAAATGAACCCTACAACAATTTCATTAATGTATCTAGCACAATATATGCCGACAATCCTAACCACATGCCAATCAAACCGCCCATATTAGCGATGAAGGAAATCGGGGACATTTCCGGCTCGTGGGTCACCGTCTGGTCCAACAGTGGGTTGTGCTGTAACTCTACGAACACCTCCTTATCCCAGGGCTCGGTATCAATGAGTTTATTCTTGTCCTTAATGTCCACATCGTATAGACAGGTCTGACAATCGCGTTCACACCGATCGACGTCATCGCACCGGTAGTCGGCCACGAGTGCGCACGAGTCAGCACAACAGATGTGGGCACATACGGGTGCCCTGACCGAAATGGTACTGGATAAAATTTGTCGACCATAGGGTACACGATTTGCAGGTGCGGTCGCTATAGTCCCGGCGGTCGAGACAACACAAACGTCGCGACAATATATCATTCATAAAACACTTGTATCGGCAGTCACTGCGCGTGCGCTCCTGTTGTCGGACAGCATCAGGGTCGTATTCGCGGCACCTGGTCTCGTATGGGGCCGGTAGTCGTACGGTCTTAATGGTAGAGAATTGAACCTGGTATTGGTGGTTCATTTTGAGCTTGATAAAGTTTTCCGATCGCAAGTCATAGGGCGTAGCGTTGGCCGCGTGGAGAGAAAAGTGGATTTTGTTTTTGCCCGACGGCTGGTCGTAGAGGTTCGGTGGGAACCAATACCGGCTGTGCGTTATGGTTAATAGTACCTAGATTATTTTTATTTTAAAAAAATATATAATTATTTTATAATTATAATGTTATATTGAAATGTTATAAAACTATTCGTGTAAATATTAGACCATTATTTACATTATATTGATATTTAACCAATATAATTATGTTTGATTAAAACTTTTTGCAGTTTGCAACTAAAATTAATTTATGACGTTTGCAGTTGATCACATACTTTAGGCTAACTCTACCATCATAAGTAGTCGTGTACTTAATATTTATATTTTAAAAATTACATTGTTAATTTAAATGTTACACGTTTCTATTTATCTAAATTACAATACTTAATTAATTAATTAGAAAAGCTTAAATACAATAAAATTTATAACAATAATTTAATAAAATAATTATAGTTTATACTTTTCAACCTTTCCCATTACTCTGGCATTATTTTTAATTGAATTAAGCTACATACAATTAACTCTATATAATTAAATGTTATTAAATAAGACTAAATTTTATAATTACCTCGTTAAAATTAAACTGAAACTGGCGCCATTTAGGATTGAGCTCGCTGAAAAACGTAAAACACTTGCGTATGTGTCCCGGCTCTTCAGCCACAACTGAGACAATAGGGTTCACTTCCATATGCCTCATAACTTGGTGATTTTTCACACCATACAAAGTGATCCTGATTAAATACGATCGTTCAGTATGATTACCATCATCATTTATTCCAGAATCTTTCCATAAATCAAACGGAATGCTAACATCGCTGTCAAACATGTAATCCAGCGGTAAATTTTGTTTATCATAAAATTTAGTAAAATTTTCATAAATGTCAATCAAATGTTCTTTCAATGTCTCATTCTTATAAT